GCAGATTTTCAGGTCGAAGTTATAGCTGATTCATAGCTAGATTTCAGAGTCAGTTGTCATATATTCAAATTCGTCTCTCGCTGCAGGAACTTTGTGTTAGCAGGGTAAATTAGCAATTCTACGACGATTGTCGAAAAACTGTCGTAATTTAAAATTGCTTCGTAACGTTATCATTGAAGAAAGGCAGCATTCTGACTTTTGAGTGCTTATTGTATTCACAGTGTCAAAACAAACGGACTATACGTTAAAAATAGGCAGCGTGATCTTATTCATAGCTACTCGGTGCGACGTTGCCTTTCTCTTTCTTGTTTTGTATCCAGAACTTTATATATTTAGCTTCCTTGTCTATTCATTTAACTGCCAACTGCCAGTTAGCCAGTTGAACGGACAGCGATCATTGCTGGACGAAGCTTTCTTCGTAAAGCGCTTGTCCATTCCAAAATGGCTTCCTATAATCCCACCAACATATCTTCTTTACTAAATTTTTGTTTGCAGCAGCAGGTACAGCTGTAGTGGCACCTTCTCCCTGTTTGAAACGTCCCATTTAGGCTCCTGATTCTCTAGACCACTTCAGAAATGAGAATCGCCTAGATTTATTTGCAACAGTTTCAATACTTCATTGATCTTAGAGACCTAAGGGGCACAGTAAACAATGCAAAATTTCAGTACGCTGTAGGTACTAAAACAGAACGAAATGTGATCTGTTTAAATGGGTCTATGGACTTTTTGAATCGCAGGACGTATTATAAAGCGTGGAAACGGAGAGAAAATGCCTGCGTATATATTTTATGCTTTTCGAAATATTGATATCATCTGTGTGAACTTTAGAACAATACCGGGCTTAAAGATCATACACGCTACAAGCTGCCAATCAGATTACCAGTGGCTGCCAATTTACTTGGTTATTTTACCAGTCTTTACCAATTCAACTTCTTAATATAGATTATCTTTCTTTGATTGTCTACAGTAAGAATAAGTAGATAAATCTGTACTTGTTCCTTTTTCTGCACTCTTTACTCATGTTGTGTGAGACCTGCTGAAACCTAGTGCTAAAACCTATTATTCAGCATGTGTTTATTTATTATTTAGCCTCTACCAGTAAAGTCGTGGAGATATGTAGTATCATATACTCATGATGTTATTCATCAACTGGTCGTGCGTTGCTGGTTGCACGAATTCATTGGGCCCAGTAGAACACCAGATTTGCAGATGTAAGATATGGAGCAGAATTTCTATCGAGTCACATGGCTTTCTTCCTTCCGAGATGGACTAACGAGTGCCGCCTGTGCATACGAAAGAGTAGGACACTACACGCGGTGTTAGACGTATAGCCATAGATATTTCTGTCACAACAGAGGATCATCTTGACGTCAAGATTCAAGAAGAGCACTGTGGCTTCCGGCCCGGTCGAAGCACCTCTGACCAAACATTTGCCCTGCGCCAGATTGTTGAGAAATCGT